CAAGTGGTAGAGCGCTCACCTTGAGCTGAAGAGCTGAAGGACAGCGCCCAGGCCCAGAGTTCAAGCCCCACGACCCACAAAAAAAAAAAAAAAAATTACTTCAAGAGGAAGACACGATTACTTCTAAGTTCTGAAGTTGTTATAAGTATTTCTTTTTACTGTAAGTACTGCTAGATTATTCCTTGATATATTACTGCTAGAAATCAGTATGCAATTTAGCTCAAGAATGAATGTGAAGCTGGGCATCAGTGGCTCACGCCTGCAATCCTAGTCTACTCAGGAGGCTGAAAGCTGAGGATCATAACCAACCTGGTAGGAAAGTCTATGAGACTCCTCTTTCCAATAAACTACCAAAAAGCTGGAAATGGAGCTGTGGCTCAAGCAACAGACTGATAGCCTTGTACAAAAGAAGCTTAGGGACAGTGCCTATATAATAGTGAGTTTGGGATATTTCCTTTTAGAATACGGAAGTAACTTATTACAATCTATAGCCATTGCCTTGTAAGGCACTATTTCCATTACATTTATTATATGACCATGTGGAATAAAACTTGAGCCATTGTTTTAAAACCTGGGGATGGTGAAAATTACAAGCATTGATAACATCCAGGCATTTTAAATCTTTACTGAAAGTGACTATGACTTCAACAGATCAATAGATAAAGAAGTACACTATTATAAATAATGATGGGTTGGTAGCCACAAGCTTAATTGAGGGATTTTCTCATAGCTAACCGATATTATAGGAAAATGTGGTTCTGGCACATGGTATGCGCCAGTGGAGATCCCAATGCCTTGCCTCCCATGCTTACCGCTCTACACGGAAGTTCACTCTTGGTGGCAGTGTCCCTGTCTGTACTGGGGACTCTGAGGTGGGGCGGGGAGGATGAGGAGCGGGGGGAGAAGTCCTTGCTGTGCAGTGTGCTCAGGTTGCTCTGCTAGGAATCTGGCTGAGTGACAGGATACTACAAATGGGAATGGCAGGCAGGCAGGGGAAACACAACTCATTTCAACACCATTGAGAACCCTCAGTGATTTAACTTAGGGGAGGAAAAGAAAAAAATCCCACGAGGAGGAGAAAGAAAAGAAAGAGCAAAAGGGAGACATCAAGCTTGCTGCTGGGACATGGACTTGCATAAAAGGCTAAGGCCGGCTGGGCAGGCGTTGGCGACACACTTCCCTGACCCTGACGTCAGCACACTCCCCCAAGGGTCACGAGCCGCCAGGCTGCTGACAGCGGCTGCTTCACCTCCATCTAGTCTGTGGGCATCAGGAAACCTGGTGATTCATCTCAAGTCACCCAGCCAAGTCTCCAGGGGCCCTGACTCACAGGCCTTCCCAGAAGGCTCCTTTTTGGCAAGGACACGTGCTCACCACGCGTGCGGTCAGGGCCCTGAGAGCGGCCTCCGGACCAAATCAGGGCGCCTTAGAACTTTCTTCTTCAGCTCACACCGTACAAGAGCAAGGCCCAACTCTCCTGGCCCTACCTCAGCCCCGGTCTTGGCCTCCTATGATGCGTTTGCAGCCAAAGGCCCCAGAAAACGGATGGAACGGATGGACATGCCAGGCTTTCCTAGAACCACCCACACACGCACACAGGCATGTGCACATGCACTAGCTCAGTGACTGCTGTAGCAGTGCGTTCTGGGTGGTGGGGACCGTCTGCGGGCCTGCCCCGGAAGCAGGGTGCCAATTCTGCCAGCTTCTGTGGGGAAGATGGTTATGAGACACGGTTCCCTCACCAGCACCATGTGATGGTGATGCCATCGTACCAGCCGGCTCTCTCCATCTGGGTCTCTTGTCTGGTTTCTGGAGTGAGAGGGATAGAGACCCCCTGCGTGTGCACAACCAAGGCCTCTGTCCCGTCGCCCGGGACCCTTACTGCCCAGGGAGGAGACCCACATCTAGGGGCCTCTCTCATCTGGTCTTCAGGTTCCTCAGGAATTGGGAGAGGGGTGAGGGTGAGCACCACTGCAATGACTTCCTGGCACGGGGCTCAGAATTACTGGGAATGTCCCCCAGGCGCCAAAGCCAAGGCACCGTGCGGGCCTGGCACTGGTGAGCAGTGCACCGTCAGCCACGTCAGCAGCAACCAGTGACTCAGCTCTGATGGGAAGGCCGGGCTCCGTCCCCAGCTGAGGTGCGGCCCGGCCGACCTCATCCACCAGACAA